TATGAAAAATATGCGGGACAGTGAAAGAAATGTGTGACTGTACGTGTACGTATAGCTATAGTATTTGGAATAATATCGGTATACCACGCTCAAGTATTCTATTGTAGTAACTCTGGCCCCACTGGCCAAAGGTAAACAGCGATAAGAGTTTATTTTTTAACCAGTACCTTTTTCTCTTTGTCTTTATAAAATTAGAGGCATTTATACGTAAATACTTACTAGTATGCTCCATGGGCATTGTTTAAAAATTCACCGTGTGGTCCCATTTTAAACATTTTTTTTTAATGGATGATAATGGAATGGTAACCCCGCCCGCGCTATCGGTATACACCGACGAGGCATCAGTGGAAGATGATAGGTGAGAATGAATACAGGTCAGTTGGCCCAACATGATGAATTCGACAAGAATTAATCACGATGGTTTCCAGGGGGAACCTCGTGGAGATAACTAACAATCCCTTCTCCCCACACTTTATACATTAGGCCACCACTTCCTTTCTCGTGGATGTCGTAAGAGGTGACTGAGGGAACTTAATGGTTGAGGAATAGGCGACTAAGGGAGGGCGAGTGATGGGTAGCAGCGTCTCTTAAAACATCACCAAAGCCTAACTGCGGTTGCCAACCCGCCTGCCATGTATGACAACTATTGGCAAAGGGTAGGTTAGGTAGGTAGGGTAGGTACCCCCTATGGCCTTTATGAAGGCCTTTCTTCAGCAGTGAATAATTAAAGACTAATATTATGTCGATGATTCATTTAAAAAAAAACCCGCTAAGTATGAGTCGAACATGCGCACTGAAGATCCCATACAAATTATAATTAAAATAAAAATTATGCCAATTTTTTATAATGCAGCTATAACAGTTTTCGAATTTTCCCCTTTACTTGTGCTGCACGACATTGCTACTTGCCAAATTTCATGAATCTGGCTCAATGGAATTTTGAATTCCATTGTAAATATACGGTATAAATGTTTAATATGTAGTACCTATAGTTTTTTTTTTTGGGTTAATGGTATGGTAAGCCCGCCTGTGCTAACGGGATACGCTGGCGGAGCACCAGTGAAGGGTGATAGATGAGAATGGAAACAGGCCAGTTAGCCCATCATGATGAATTCATCAGGAACTAACCATGATAGTTTCCAGGGGGAACTGCGAGATGGTCGACCTGATTTGGTATATTGCTAGCAATGGGATTCTCAGTCTCCATTACTAACAATCCCCTTCCCCCCTACCTATAGTATTATATTATGTATGAAACGGCCATATCTTTTGATTGCGTTGAATTAAAAATTTGATTTTTTTCACAGCTTCAAGGGATTGTAGACTTGAGTACCTATTTGATATTAGTTTGAGCTTGATGAACGGACAACAAAATGATCCCAAAATAGTCCCGTTTTTTCTTTTGTAGTATGAAATCACAAAAATAAGAATAATTTATTTAAGACTATCTATATTACATACCAGAGAGAGACGTTGTACAAATATCGTTTGCTTGGGTACCTCTGTCCCATTCGTGTTTCTACCGTGAAACAGTTGTGTTTGCATGGCTGTGTTTCGGTTGGAAGGGTGGGATATGGCAGTGAATTTACAGGGTACAGAGGAATAACACCTGAGTACTCAGAAATAGCTACGCATGGGTGGTATCATGGGCGAAACAGTATACCTACTCTGTTATGTCCATGGTACAGCTCATGTCTATAGGCGACGGTTACCACTTTCCATCAAGTGGGCCGTCAGCTTGTAAAGCCGTGCTTTCTAAGTTTTTTTTTTTTATACAACTTAGAATGGCAACCTACTTAAGTAGAGTCATTTTGATCTAAGACAAAGAGTGAGAACGACACGTCATTTGTCAATTTTGGTCCAGTATTCGCAGACATAATAATAATAGATAGGTAGGTACATACATCGATACATACTAAACAGGAATAACAAATACCACGCGGACAAAGTCGCGGGCATTAGCTAGTAATACATAATTTACTTATGTTTAGTGAAAAATCCCATGTTAGGTACAGGCCCTAAACATTCTTCACGCATGCATTTCAGGTTTTTTTTTATACAACTTAGACTAGCAAACAAGGTGACGGTCCACCTGTTGAAAAGTGGTAACCGTCGCCTATGGACATGAGCAGTACCATGGACATAACAGAGTATACTGTTTCGCCCAGGATACCCGTTATGCGTTGCCATTCCTGAGAACTCAGGTGTTATTCCTCTGTACTCTGTAAATTCACTCCATTAAGGTATATCAGGTACTAAATTGTCAAGCCTTTCATTTCATTCAGAGATTCGTTTAAATCATATTATTTGGAGTAGGTACTTTTTGTTTACGGGGGCGAATGGAATTGTTACCCTGCTTGTATTATCGGTATACGCTGGCGGGGCTCCAGTAAAAGTTAATATAAGAAGCCTCTCGTAACAAATTTAACAATAATTCACTACGATGGTGTTCAGGGGAACCGCGTGGAGGTCGACCTTATAGGGTATGTTGCAAGCAATGGGGTTGTTTGATCCCATTACTAACAAGCCCTTTCCCCCACCGGAGTGGTTTTTTTTTATACCACTGAAGTGGCAAACAAGCATACGGCCCACCTGATGGTAAGCGGTTACCGTAGCCTATGAACGCCTGCAATACCAGAGGCATTACGCGCGCGTTGCCGACCCTGAAGAAACCTCTTTACTCTCCTTTTGAATAACCCCATGCTGTAGTCTCTTGGGAAAACGTCGGCAGGGAGCTCATTCCATAACCTAAGTGTTCGTGGGAGAAAGCTACTTGTCACTTTTTTATTATTGTATATTTCACTAGTATTTACTCGTGACTTCGCTCACGTGACCATGATATGTTTCTTGACTGGAATAAAATAAATTTACCAGAGGGAGACTTTGTACAAAAGTCGTTTGCTTGGGCACCGCTGTCCCATTCGTGTTTCTGCCGTGAAGCAGTTGTGTTTGCATGACTGTGTTTCGGAAGAGTGGGATATGGCAGTAAATTTACAGGGTACAGAGGAATAACACCTGAGTCCTCAGAAATGGCAACGTATGGGGGGTATCATGGGCGAAACAGTATACTCTATTATGTCCATGGTACTGCTCATGTCTATAGGCGACGGTTACCACTTTCTATTAGGTGGGCCATCAGCTTGTTTGCCATTATAATTTGCATAAAAAAGGTGGCCTGTATCTTTTCTATTTCATATAATAGGTATATATATACCAAATTTCAAAATGTTTGGTTAAAACGTCGATGCGTTATATGGTAACAAACAAACTCACCGTTACATTAATAGTACCTATTACCTATTGAACTATATGTTTCATAAAAATATTTCACGTAAATATTTACTTTTTTTTATTGCTATACCTATTGTATTATCAAGTCTAAGTAAAAAAAAAAAACTACGGGTATACAAACCTAATCTATATGAAAATTATCATGGTTAATTCACAAACAACCATTAAAAAATCTACTGTACCTTCCTTACCTTCTTTCAACCATCAATTCTATGCCTCTAGTGAGAAAGGTTCAATTCAAAATGGCCATTTTTCAGGAGAGCCAAAAAACTATTTTAAATAAAGAAAAAAAATTCTGCTGCTTTTATTATTTGCTAATTGAACAAGTCAATGATTGCATTTATAGTAATTTTTTCTCCTCTTTCTTATGAAATTGTCGGTTTTTGTGTAAAACCAAAAGTTGTAAAAATAATTCTATTATACCTAATCACACTTAACAAAAATATTAAAATTATCATGTGAAAATAGTTTTAAGTTGAATTAAAACTATTTTATTGAAGTATTGAAGAAAAACAATGTTGTGTATGTTACGCTATAAAAAAATAATCGCTATTAAATGGTGTAAAAGGGTTCAAATCGAACTGATTCATTTTACACAAAAATAAATTCATATTTAAAGGGTGGTTCTAAGTATCTTGTCATTTTTGGCACTATTTTTGTAAAATATTGTAGTTTTATTTCTAATTATGACTTTTTTACCACAAATATTTTGTTAATTGTAGCCTTTTACATGTTTACTATCTCTATTGTTTTTAATGATATCGTTACGATTCTTATACCATTCGAAAGAGAAAAATTTGCTTATTTAAAGTAGCCTAAAAAAGAAAAAGGCTATAATTTGAGTTATATTCTTTCTCACTAGAGGCACAGAATTGTCCACTGTAACATATAGACCACCCGCATAAACAACAGTCCATAGCTATCGGGACCTATTGCCTTGTAGGTACTAAGTACTTAGATCTTTTTGAACATGGCGCTTACTATGAACATGGCGGGTATCACTCCATTATAACAGTGCGTTTAAATATACGACTCTGTTCGCTTCTGAATGAAAATGACACGAAATTACTTCGTACGTAACATATGCATGTGTATAGTTAAATTTCTCGTGGGAAATATTTCCGAAATTTAACTACAAAGTTGTTCTAGCGATTTAAAACCTACGTACCTACCGTTACGGGCCATATTTCCATTAAGGAAGTATTAATTATAAAGGTATTCGGGTAATCGGTGCGTAGGTACTAGAACATCTCGGTGTACGCAAAAGCCTCGGTATAATGACCGGAGTCAATTAATGTCTGGATTGATATAGAGCAATTGGTGGGTTACCAATTAATTCGACGCGCGTAAGGTGGGGCGGCGGCGTCGCGGGGTCGCGGGCGGCGAGGGCCACGATTGATTACGACGCCGAGTGTCCATAAACAAAAACGTAGCACTAATTCCATTAACCGAAAACTAACCCCGCCATAAATCTCGTGGCGCGGCGCCCATTCGCGACCACGCCGCCCAGCCCCGCCCGCGGACCCGCGGACCCGTGCCCGCTCCACGCGGCGCCGCGTCGCACTACGATGCACCCTTTCCGCCATTCGCATCTGAATCGCGAGTGGCGATTTATGGAAAGCGCTTTTCTCGTGCAAAAGATTTTCCGAGGAGGCGGGGGCGTGGCCCCGCCCCGGGGCGGGGGCCGCCGGTGGCCCCGAGGGCCGGCCCGCCGCGCCGGCAGTGCACCCGCGCGCTTCGCTTTATACGCACGTACCGATACCGTATCGCGATCTCTACTGATAAATCGATAAGGATCCAACGGGAGAATCTAGTGTTGTGCTTGTGATAAAACTGATCTCTGTTATTGACAAACGTGTTATCAATTGTATGCATACGTCTCGACGGAGGTGATTGGTGTAGCGTGAGAGATACTTGTAAGTAAAATATATGTATAAGTTAAGTACAGTTAACCTATGTTGACTTCACTCTCAACCGAAAGTGATAGGTACTTGTCGGTTTATTTAAGTCAGTACTTAAGTTTATGTACATAAACTTATGCAAGCACAACAATGGCGTCTGGTACTATGAGGCACTACGGCATATTATGTATACTTCTGGTCACCTTGAGAAGTGAAACATCTCGTGTGCCTATTTTAAATTTATAATCAGTAAAGTGTTTTAAGTATCTACTTATTTTTATAATATGATGATGAGGGGGGAAAGGGATTGTTAGTAATGAAGACTGAGAACCCTATAGCTAGCAATATACCCAACCAGGTCGACCTCCTCGCGGTTCCCCCTGGAAACTATCATGGTTAATTCCAGATGAATTCATCATGATGGGCTAACTGGCCTGTTTTCATTCTCATGTATCACCCTTCACTGGTGCTCCGCCAGCGTATCCCGTTAGCGCAGGCGGGGTTACCATACCATCAAAAAAAAACCTACTTGCTTGGTATTAGGTTTATTTTTCAATTTTAAAAATATCTCCGAAAAATATACATTTTTAACAGCCAAGTGTCTAATTAATAACTTTATAACTGTATTTGCTTAAATAAACTTTAAAATTATAGTTAATTTTATAGTAAATATCTAATTATAATTAAATACTCGCATGGGGGGTCCCATGTTCAGTAATAAACAACCTGTCCGTGGGCCTACCATGAAATGTTTTCCGATATTTCGGGACGGACCGATACACAAATTTGATGTTCAAATTACATAATACATACCGTTTAAAAATGTTAAAATATCGATTTATGACTAACGAAATGTTAAGTACAATTCACTAGGCCCATTAGGTATGAAGAAAAACACAATAAGACATCCGAAAATTTGCAATTTCGGTTCATTGTAACTCACCTAGTGTTAAGAGTTTATGAGCCGCCTTTATCATAGGTACTTGATTAATAAATGTATCTATTTATGTATATTTATTTAAAACTTGATATTTATTTATCTATAATAGACATAGTAGGTTTTATAACTGTGTTTCGGTTTGAAGGGTGGGATATGGCGTGAATTTACTGGGTACAGAGGAATAACAAGGAATTGTAACAATTTCATTTTTGTACCGCATGTCCATGGTACTGATAGGCGACGGTTACCACTTACCATCAGGTGGGCCGTCAGCTTGTTTGCCATTCTAAGTTTTATAAAAAAAAAAAAAAAAAAAAAATTCGAGTATTCTGACACTTCCCTACGGTTGACTGGGAGAGAATGCTTTAAGCATTAAGTCCGCCATGTACACATATATGTACTAATGAATAAATAAGTAATAAATAAATATCTGCCTGTTCATTAAATGACGATAATAAATTTAAAAAAACAATTATGTATGTATGTTATAATTACAATATAAAATTACAATCAATTTGTGGTTGTGGTTACGATTGGTTCAATACATTTTATCAAACTGTATGTGCCTACCTAATATGTAATATAGGGGGAAAAGGAATTGTTAGTAATGGAGACTAAGAATCCGATTCCTAGCAATACACCCAACCAGATCGACCTCCACACGGCTCCTGGAAACTAACATGGTTAATTCCTCATGAATTCATCACGGTGGGCTAACTGGCCTGTTTTCTTTCTCATCGATCACCCTTCACTGGCGCCCCGCCAGCGTATACCGTTAGCGCAGGCGAGTCTGTCATTCCAATTACATCTATTAAAAAAAAATATAACCGTATAGCAGGGTTGACCTACCGGTCGATCGCGACTATTTAGTCCAATCGATCGTGGTAAGGCGAAAAATTTCCACCTGATGGAAAGTGGTAACTGTCGCCTATAGACATGAGCAGTACCGTGCACATACCAGAGTATACTGTTTCACCCATGATACCCCCCATGCGTTGCCATTTCTAAGGACTCAGGTGTTATTCCTCTGTACCCAGTAAATTCACGCCATATCCCACCCTTCAAACTGAAATACAATCATGCAAACACAGATGTTGCAAGGCTGTGGTGTTGTGGGTGATCATGAGCGGTCACTTACCATCACTTAGAGTCACTTACCATCAGGTGAGCCGCATGCTCGTTTGCCCCCTGTGTTGCAAAAGAACAAAAAGGAATAATGTTCAGAAATAACCCAATATATAGATATCGGAGCGAGACCGACATTACTCATGCCTGTATTTAAATTTAGAACGCAGAATATCTAGTATGTCTACGAGTGGATCGATAAGTAGCTTCGCAACAAATAGTTTTTGTTTCACAAACAAAGACAGTTACCATTGTTGCAAAATTAATGTGAAACGAACTTCCGAGTTAGTAAATCCCTTCGACTACAAAAATGTTTATTATTTCGGAAACAATGGACGAAAAAAAATATGGCTAAATTTTTTTAAGTGTCATGTCTGTTCTTATAGACTGGCTCGAACAGGAGAGCAGGTGGTCTACCATGAAATGAAATTCCGAATTTCCGGGCTCAATTTCGTGTTTTTGTTTGTACCGAAATCGACCCAGTAAATGGAGTTAAACATTTCGTTCATCATAAATCCTATCCTAATAGTCCAGAGGAGCGATATTTTAACATTTTTAATAATTTTAAACGGCACGTATTATGTAATTTTAACATCAAATTTCTGTTTCGTTCGTCCCGAAATATCGGAAAATATTTCATGGTAGGCCTTCAGATTCTGACCACGGTTAAAATTGAGTTTTATGCTTATTGAAATAAGGTTTACATTTCACTTCTATTGTTATGTGAGAACGCTCGAGAGACGACAAAAGAAAGTGAAATTAAGAAATAAAAATAAACTTTGTTACAATGCTTTAAAAATTCTATTTTAAACGAAATCAAAAATTTCTCCTTTTTCAAGAACGCTGCTCACCTAGTACTTCGAGGCGATTTCGTTTTGCAAAAAGTTGTTTTTTTTGTTTGCAAACAAAAACGGCAATTACCATTGTCAAAAAATTAATAACGAACTAGTCCGAGACAAAAGTAAATCCCTTCGACAACAAAAAGGTTGTATATATTTGGTTGTTTGGAATTCGGTGAATGAGTTTTTTTTTTTTAAAAAACACCGGAGAAAAATGAGCATGTGGCTCACCTGATGGTAAGTGATTACTGCCACCCATATACTCGCAACAGCAGTAAGCAGGTGTGTTGCAAGCCTTTTAGGAATATCTGAATATCTGAATGTGACAGAAAGTGATCTCTGACTACCCCTCATCTAATGGTATCTGTTATTTATTTATTTATGTTAATGTCAAGTATCTGGACACATACAATGCAGTTTATTTGTGTGTATGTATGTATGTATATGTATATATATATATATATATATATATATATATATATATATATATATATATATATATATATTGTAAATTTTTAATGAAAAGTTTCCACTGACTCTTGGAATATCAGTGTTTTGCTCTTTTAAACAAAGCAATAAACTACGTGACCATTTTGTGTTACCTGATGGTAAGTATTTTGTTTTTGTATTTTGGTTTTTTTATTTGTGCTTTTTTATTTTTATTCTTTTGTCTCTTTTGCTGTGTATTACGAACAAGTAATGCAAATAAATTGCAATACCATCTATCTAGGGGTCTTTGCTTAGATTTTAATGCGCGCGTTGCTGACTCTGAAGAAACCTCTTTACCCCCCTTTTGAAGAACCCCATACTGTAGTGTCTTGAGAAAACCTCGGCAGGGAGCTCATCAATCAATCTGACGGCCCACCTGATGGAAAGTGGTATAACCGTCGCCTATAGAGAGGGGGGGGGGGGTTAGTAAAGCGGACTACCAATCCCATTGTTAGCAATATACCCTGTCGGGTCGACCTCCACGCGACCCTCCTCCCACCCGGAAACTATCGTGCTGAATTCCAAGTGTATTCATCACGATGGGCTAACTTACCTGCCTTTTTATTCTCACCTTATCATCTTTCACTGGTGCCCCCGCCAGCGTATATTTTTTTTCTTTTCTTTAAATATTCCGCGCGCACGCACTTTTGTAACGTCGCTCCCCTAGCCACATGCCTACTTTGCCTTATGGATAATCCACCTCTAACTATGGTATATACATAGTTATACTTCCATTTGGAGGTCACATAAAACTGCCACATTTCTAGTGGGGCTTGTGTTTAACTCGACAACATGGCGGCTGCTATGTTTTTGCTTAATATCCACGGTTCGCCGACGAGCGAGAGGCAATAAACAATCCAATTAATTATCTGCGAACGACTGCGGGCAAAAAGCGTTCTGCTCAATTTAGCAATTGCCTACCAAACAACTGAGCGACGCGATTGGTAGGAAAATTACTTCACGCATAATACACGTACATCGTTCACGACATAGTTACGGGACGCAATACGCTGTAAGGTATTTTTTTTATGGGTGAAAATGGTATGGTAACCCCGCCTGCGCTAACGGGATACGCTGGCGGAGCACCAGTGAAGGGTGATAGATGAGAATGAAAACAGGTCAGTTAGCCCATCATGATGAATTTATCAGGAATTAATCATGATAGTTTCCAGGGGGAACCGCGAGGAGGTCCTGGTTGGGTATATTGCTAGCAATGGGATTCTCAGTCTCAATTACTAACAATCCCTTTCCCCCCGCTGTAAGGTATTAGGTTGAGTTCCCTCCGATGGCGAGCCGTATGATGGTAGAAATTGTTTTCAGTGTTAATAATAATAACCGTACACTGACGAGATTACTGTTATTGGCTGTATTCATAAGAGACTTAGCATGTAAGTTATTTTTTAAGAGCTGTGGATTTTTGTATAAAATAAAATAGAAAAAAAAATTAAAAAAAAATTACAAGCGTAATCCTGACATAACAACAAAAAATCGAAAAAAATTGTCAAAATATTTATAAGTAGAACAGAAGACAATAAAAAAAAAAAAATCTGAACAATTATTCGTAAGGATATTGCGAGTTTAAATAAAAAGTTTTTAATCATTATTTTCTTTCATCCTCAGAA